ATGGACAGTTTAGATTGAGTTGCAATGGTTGTAACAATTGGTTGAGTTGGGTTCCAGGAAATGGAAGTTACGGTGAGAATGATAAGAAATGATCTCTACATTTAGATCAATCTTAATTGAATATCAACACTAATGCGGTGCACCAAGATACACCGGATCAATTCCCATGATGAGTGCAATTCATTGGAGGTGAGATTAAAAGTGATCAAAGGTTCAGATCACTTCTTACGCTTCTCACATCATCCTTCATGTGTGTGTGTACATATATATATACACACACACACCTAATAAATAACTTGAGTGACACGTGTCATCTTCTGGTGAGTCGGTTATCTTATTTTCCCACCTAAACATGTATGTAGACACAATTTACATTAGTGGTTCAAAGAGGCCTATTTGGTTGACATATGTCCCTCTAAAAATCTATTCTTTTATCGTGGTTTGACTGATTTTCCTACTAAACGGGATTTAGTTCAGACTAATTTCCTTCAGTTAATCTGACAGCTTATTGCTGACAGCTTATTGCTGACAGCCTTCAGCTTGTGTTTTCAGCTTATCGTGACAGCTTTCAGCTTATCACTGACAGCCTTCAAATAATCTGACAGGTTATTGCTGACAGCCTTCAGCTTTCAGCTTATTGCTGACAACTTATCACTGAAGGCCTTCAGCTAATCTGACAGGTTATTGCTGACAACCTTCAGCTTGTGTTTTCAACTTATTGTGACAGCTTTCAGCTTATCGCTGACAACTATCACTTGTTGATGTTGTCAAGGGGTTCTGTAAGACGAGTTTTGTTGGTTAATATGCCAGCTATAAAAGGGTTTTTTTTTTGCCAAAAATATGTCTATATTTGTTCAAAATAACACATTTAATTTTATTCTAGGGTTAACTTCATTTTAACTAATTATTGATATAGTTTCAATTCTAAATTCAAGTTTGAAGAGTCATTTTTCAGAGTCATTCTTCAGAGTTATTTCAAAAGTACAAGTCTCAAGTAGCTTCGTACTTTCGATGATCATTCATATCTGTAAGATAAGTTCCTGACATGATTTAATTTTTTCAAATTACCCCGTATAATACACGGGATCGAACCTAATATATATATATGAAGGGTCGTGTGAGAAAAAGAGCTAAGGTGAGAAACGTAAGAAGAGATCTTTACCCTTAATCATTTTTAATCTCATGCCACCCATGGATTACGCTTTAGAATGAAATTGATCAGATGCATCTCGGTGCATATTAGTAGTGTTGATTTTCAATTAAAATTGATCCAAGAATGAAGATCTCTTCTTACCCTTCTCACCATAACTTGTCTTCTCATCAAAACACAACCCTATATATAAAAAGATGAATGTACATAAGAAAAATTGATAATTCTTCTTAGAGAAGACACAAAGCATAATGATCTTGCAACTTTTATAGCAAGTGTTTGTCTTTCATTTCTCTAAATGCACAATCAAGACTTAAATCAACACTTGTGACTCTTTTGTCACATTTTCTTTTAAATAAATAAATTGTGGAAATTTATGTGGTATTAAACATGATTCATGTCATGTGTTTACCAACTTAAACTAGAGTACACGAAATGCAGAGATAAAAATACTCAATAATCCAAGGTCACAACTACACACACAAATGGCGCTATTAAACAAAGCAAATAAAAGTGAACTCTACTGTTTGAAGTTTTCAAATATTACAACCTTTTATTTTTATTATTTTAAACAAATATAATTAATTAAAAAATAAGTAACTCAATAATCTGTAACAGTATGTCGACGCTTTTTTCTTTCTTGACCCTAATATCGATGTATTATCCATGTACCCTTATGATGCAGCATATGCAAATCTTTATTGTAATAGAGAATGAAAAATTAATGCAATTTCTTATTAAAAATATAAAGTTTTCTACCGTACTAATTAAGTTCAACGTTTATCTTGTTTTTATATTGTGTTTATTAATTAACTACTAATTATTTTATGAAATTTAAAAGTAAAGTTTTAATAAAT